ACCATGCACGTGCAGGTCAATGCTTGGGTCGTGCATGCGGGGTTTATTGTAACTCCGACTTTTCTGGTGAACAGTGGAGGCCCATTCTACTAATATACCCCTCGATGACGTTGATGGCAGTTTGAAAAACGTCTTGTGCCTCTTAATAGAGCCATGGCACACAGAGTCATATCATCGGCGTAAAATGCATGCTGTAATTTAGGAAAATCAGCAAGCTCTTTGGCCAATGGGGCCAAGGCTACATTGAGTAAGAGTGGCGATAGGACAGCTTTCTGGGGTGTACCCCTGTTTGGGAGAGAAAAAGTCGCGGATGTAAGTGTACCTAATCTAACCTCGGTGGTGCGGTTTTCCAAAAAAGCTTTGTCATAATGCCAGGTTCTACGACCATAGCCAGTTGTGGCCAAGGTGCAGAGAATGTGTTCATGACCTACATTGTCGAAAGCCTTTTGTATGTCTAATGCGAGAATGGCTCTGGTTTGGGCTGTCTGCCGTTTTTGATGAAATAGAGTCTTTTTAACCTGCAGGAGGACATCCTGCGCCGATAGGTTGGGGCGCAAGCCAAACTGAGTGTTGGGAAAGAAATTGCTAGCTTCTAATTGTGGCTGTAATCGACGGAGAACAACATGCTCAAAAAGTTTACTTACACAGCTTGTGAGCGAGATGGGTCATAAATTTTTGAGAAGTAGTGATTTGCCTGATTTCGGAATCAGATTAATCTGTGCAAGTTTCCAAACACAGGGCAGTGTGCCCTTGCTCCAGTGTTCGTTAAAGAGATCCGTGAACTGCTGTAAAGACACGTCATCTAAGTTTCGGAGGATCTTATATGTTATACGATCTGGCCCTGGTGCAGTGTCCCGGGTAATACAGCAAGGGCCTGTTTTACCTCTGCAAGCGTGATATCTGCATCCAAGTTTTCGTCCGGATCGGGGGGTGTTAAAGGGAGTGCGTTCAGATCGGCCGGTAGAGGCTGAGGAATATAAAGGTTTTTTATGTGTGTGTTATAATGTCTGTGCCTTTTTGCTCTTCTAGGTAAATGAGCCGTTGGGTAGCAGTGGGAATGTGGTTTTTGGTCGACGCGGGATCTAGAAGGGCCCTTAGGATGTTTCATGTACGTTTTTTGCCAAATGTTCCTTTCAGTGTCCCACAAAAGTTTTCCCAATTGGCTTTCGCTAACTGGGTGGCATACTGTGCGGCTTCCTCTGTGACTGCAGCGATACGTAGGCGAAGTTTTCGGTTTAGCCTCTGACGCTTCCATCGTTTACAAAGGCTTCGTCGGGCCTCCCACAGATGGAGGAGGTGGGGGTCAACTTGAGGCGAATTCGGCGTGTTCTTAATATTTTTACCAGACCTATCAACAGCATCTTGTACCCTTTGAGTCCAGGACTCTATAGATTGCGGAGTGGTATCTTCCGTGGCGATATATGTGCGGAGTTTATCCCAGTCAACGAGGGTCTGCACTTTAGGTCGGAAAATTTTAGAAATTTGCGTAATGACAGTTCGAATCACATGGTGGTCACTATCTTATGTATCCGAGAGAACCTCATGTGTTTTTACTATTACATGTGCACTAACCATCGGGAGGTCAGGCGTGGTATCCCTGGCGGGGCTAGTGCCTACTCGCGTTGGCACAGTAGGATCAGTAATTAAGGTAAGTGCGTGGTGCATCATGGTGCTATGTACAAGGTAACCTTTCGGTGAGTTACTTATGTAACCCCATGCGGTATGGCGTGCATTAAAATTACCTACTATAATGTGATGCGTGGACCACGTTTGAGAAAGAATTTCACGTATGCGAGTGCCCTTATCTTTAGGAGTGCTGTATATGTTGATTATGAAGAGTCCTTTACCCGATGTGTGATTCGACGGGATTACCTCAAGAGCAGTGTACTCGGTTCCATTCTCTGATGAGCTTCTTGTAGGGGTCCGATCTATGAATGGAAGGGTTTTATGAATAAGAATAGCGGTGCGCGATGTTATCGATGCCACCTGATATCCTTGCAGAGAAAAAGGGACAGACCCCGTCGCCTGCAGAGCCACTATATGAGATGGTTCAGCGGAGTGTTGAATATAAGCGGCCAACTGACAGTGTTTTTTTCTGGTGCTTCCTCAGTTCCACTGACATATGTTGATATCAGATGAATTTTGATTTCCGGATGGAGAAGGCAAGCCTGCTCTTCCGGGATTTTGTCGATTACTAGAATTCGCCACGTTGGGTCGTTGTGGGAGTGGAAACTCCCGATTGTGGGCTGTTTGCCTGCACCGTGTGCTGAGAGGAAGCGGCGGCAGATTTGCGTTATTTATGCTTACGGGTTGGTGATGATTGAGCTTCCATATCATACAGGGGATTAATTGCAGCCTCAACTTTTTCCATGCGGTGACTAAACGTAGTCTCCATTCTCTGGAGGGTCTGTTCTTGTTCTTTAATCAGTTGTGTTTTAACAGCCTCGAGGCTATCACTTAAGAACTTTAGAACTAGTTGTGTGAGGGCTTGAGTGAATTCTAGGGTTTGGAAATACTGGGCACACGTCTGTTGAACGAGGGCTGGTGAATGGGGTGGTGTTGATCGCGAAGGATTTTGGGAGGCCTGCTCAATGGGCGACTTACCAGGGACGGCCAGGGGGTCCTGCCGTCGCTGTAGCTGCGACTGTGGGGCTTGATCTAGGCGACCTCCTGCAGCCAAGTCAGATGAACTCGAGGCCGCTGCCCTGGCCTCTAAGCCAGGTGCATGGGTTGGCTCTGGTTGCGGGAGTGCTGGCCACGTATTGTAGCTTTTCGCACTGCTCTGCGAAGAAGGCGGTGGGTAGTTCCTGGATGAATGCGCAGATGCCTGGATAGGTGGAGGTGCTCCGGGTTGAATAGGTTGCGAGGTCTGCTTTCCATGCTTTGGGGTTTTTGAGCACTTGGATCGAGCACTCCTACCGTGGCCTTTGCTGCTGGCGTGCTGAGGACGGCTGCGAGGTTGGTTGTTTGGAGGCAACTGTTCAGAAAGTTGTTTCAGTGGAGGATCATTGGGCTTTTCTAGGAGCTGGCGTTCATCTCTAAGAACACGGGGCCCAGGTCTCCTTTTCGGGCTGGGCAACCCAGGTCGATGGTGGGGTGTTCTTCGGAGCCACAGGTTAAACACCGTGGGACGCAACCATCGTGGTGTTCACTTAGGTTGTGCATAGCACAATTTCCACACCGGCGTTCCTGTGGATATGGGCAGATGTCGTGTCGGTGGCCAGTTCTGAGGCAGCAGTACCACACTTGGGTGACTGGTCGAAAAGGTCTGCATCGAAATTCCACGCCTTAGAAGTAAACCTATCGGGTAAAACGTTTTCCCTCGAAGGTGTAGAGGCATGCTCCATTCGTCCCGAATAGTCGCACTTGGATAATATTGATACTTTGGGGATAAGTGATGGTGTCGTTCATAAGGGCGTCGTCTGTGGGTATAGGGAGGGCTCCTGTGATTACTCCCTGGAAGGATTTATGTGGGGAAGCCACGTAAGCGGAGACTTCATACGATCTGCTGCCGAGCTTGAGCGTCTGGACATGGCACAGCTGTACCGCAAGGTCTGGGTCGGAGGTGCTTACTAGGGCGATGTTCTGCTCCTTGCGTACTCGCATCTGCGCACTCATAGGCAAGGGGGCTCGGAGCGCGGTTTTTATGGCAGCGCGCAAGAGTAAAAGCGCTTCTTGTTGTAGAGATATGCCTCCTCTTGTACGAAATATCACCTTGTGGTCCTCTACGGGAAGGCATGGCAGGCGGGGCCAGCCGGTTCCATGTCGGTTCTCGCGTTGGTGGAATGTGGCTGGTGGCATCGCGGAGGCCTCCTCGGCAACAACCTTTTTTTCGGCGAGCGTCGATCACCCGAAATCATAGAGTGTGAGGCACGGATGACCACAGGTATGTATTGTTGGACGCTTCGACAACGCTGCTCGGACCGAGGGTAGAGTCACTGGGCCCGACATTGTCCATGGGTTCGAAGTCGTCAGCATCCATGCAGTCCAGTTGGTCTGGTGAGTCAGAATTGATGGTGGTCGTCTCCGCGAATCGGGCCCCGGCCCAGTTCGCTCCGGCCCAGTTCGAGTTGTAAGAGATTGTAATCACCAAAACCATCACAGTATCTGATTGTGCCTATCGTATCAGGAGTGGTGGTTAGCCCCATATCTAGAATATAAGTACCACGTGTGGGTTTATTTACCACTTGTGATAAGTTGAAATTCAACGAAAGGTTGATAAAATAAGTTGAAATTTGGCAGGGCGAGGATAAAGTGGGCGAGTCGATATTGGGTAAGTTAAAGTCACCAAAAAGGTACACGTGATCCGTAGCAAATCTCTTTATTAGGGCCGAGATGCTCTCTCACATATCATTTAGGACTAGCGGACTACCAGCCAGTGGACAACAAACGCCTATTAATATATCAACTTGGTGTGAGCCCTACATGCTGCCCATAATATTTCCAGAGCAGAGAATGTATCAAGTACTAATGATGCGGTGTCGTTCTTAATGGCCAGCAGTACCCCTACATCTCTCCTTTGTGTGCGGTCACGCCTATAAATGGCGTAGTCCTTATCAAACAACAATTCCATGTCACTGATATTAGGGCACAACAAGTTCTCTGTAAGTGCTACGACCTTGGGACAGCTGTCATCATCTCAATGGACATAGACATTTTCGACTACCTTTCGTTGTTTTTCGGAGCCCGGCATTCATGCGATGCTTATTTTTTTTCTTGGGAAGAGGCTAATGCCACGCTGTGTTGGTAGCAGAAGACGAGAGCGAAGAAGTGAATGGCTGCTCAGAAGTTTTAAAAACTTCGCATGTGAGCATGTGCGAGTTCGGATGATGTAGTTCATACCCCGTGGAATCGGTTAGACGAATAGCAGTCAGTGCACTCTAAAAAGTTTCTAGTAATGCGAAACCCTTTATCGCAGTTAAGTATGATGTGATTCACAATCGCTTCGAGCACAATTTAAAGTATAAATGCCGCACGATACAATGAAAGGTCGTTTAAACAACCTGGCATTTTCTCTATGAAAACCTCTGGCAACGGAATCTACGTTAGGTAAATGACAACTACAGACCACACCATTACGAACGCAGTATAAGTACTGCACAGTAGTTCATAAATTTTACTGCACTTGCCTCTCACTACACGTACAAAGTAAGTATGAGCGATGTTCTTGAGTGCCACTTTCCTCACTTTTTTGAAGAAAAAAAAACATGCATAGAGAAAGCAATCACAATATATAACACATGCTCACGTGGAAATAATGCATGCTTTTGAAAAGTGCAATTTTTTTCTTGAATTAAATTACCTTCGGGTTTAGCGAGATTTCACCCTAAATATTTTGGCAATGTCAAAGTCGTCAAAATGACTGGCGGAAGAGTGACAAACATTTTTCTGCAGAGCGTTATGCAGTTTTTCGAGTGCCTATGATTTGCGGTTTAACACGTGAAATCACACTCGACAATTACAGACACAGCCTTCGTTTAGCTAGTTCTCAGCAGAGTTCAGAAAAAAATCACCACCACATTCACAAAGTGAATAATGTTAGAGGAACGCACTCCCAAGTGCACGTTACGTTTCTTGGTGAAACCCTCTCTGCTAGACAGCTTGTGAACGAGCCGTCGCATGATGTGCTCAATAAAGGATGCGTTGTTGGGTACATTCCGCGGCCGGTACTGCGCAGTCCTTGTCAAGTCAATCAACCTGCCTCTTTATGCCATACTGCCCGCTGCCTTGAGACAAATGCCAAACGCTCATCAATGGCAGATATTGAGATAACAGGCATTATTCAGCGGGGTTGAGAACAGAAAGGTGATGGGGTTTGGGAGAATATCAGTACCCGTGCATGCACTCATCGTAGGAAGCTGCCGTGCCTATTCGACAATCCTCGCTCGCCCTGCCGGCCTGCCTGACAATTTTTGCTTTTCTCCCGGCTAGGAGATGGTGCGCGTTCGCATGCAGGCAGACTAAACACCATTGACACCCTCCTCTTTTCATGTTTCTTTCTCATTCATTTATATCCCCTATCTATCCCCCGTGTGGCATAGTTGAGGTGATCTCCAAGCCTCACCGCGGTGGTGTAGTGGCTAAGGTACTCGGCTGATGACCCGCAGGTCGCGGGATCGAATCCCGGGCACGGTGGTTGCATTTTCGATGGAGGCGAGAATGCTGTAGGCCTGGGTGCACAGATTTGGGGGCACGTTAAAGAACCCCAGGTGGCCAAAACTTCTCGAGCCCTCCACTACGGCGTCTCTCATAATCATATGTTGATTTTGGGACGTTACGCGCCACATATCAATCAATCAAATCAGGTGATCTCCTGAGACAGAGACCGCTGCGACACCACACTTTTCTGTTGAACGGTCTTTCTTTCAGTCACTTTGAGGAGGTGATCGCGCGGGCTATCCAAAACCGACGCCTTGGGCGCCGGCTTGCCATTTAGTCAGCATTTTGAGAATCAGCGGAGAGGCTACCTTGGGCGGCGACCACAGAAGTGTACACACTGGCAACACTGGTGTACACGCAAGCCACAGCCATTAGACACGCCGCGAGCAAAAACTAGAAGCTGGTAAAATATTCCTGACTATGCGCCTCAAGTGCATTTGCTGGAAGCCTACAATAGCAATACTGAGATACACGCCTCACTGATGCAAAGGCGTATTTTCAAAATATTTTTATAAGTAGACAGAAATGCTACCCTGAAATACAGATGCAGGAATAAAGACAAGAATACAAATGCCGAAATACTTTCATATTATTATACGGATGTCCAAGCTCTAAGAAGGCATTTATTAGGTAGCGGATAACATTGTGAATATTGTCTAGAGCATTGAAACTTGCAAGTCAAGCATACTGACCGAATCACTAGCGAACACCTGTAGACTAACAATAAGTGCACAATTTTTTCTGGGCAGAAGCCCTGTTTTGCCGAAAAAGTTTTTAGATAAAAACTTTCAAGAGAATATAGAGCTTCTCAAGTGGGCTGTCATTCATGCAGCGTCAGTTTGGCCGTAACACAAGTACCCCCTTGAAGTTGGAGATGTGGCACCCACCCTGAAAGACAGCGGCTTTCGTGAACAGACGATAATACTATACCTTCGCGATTCATCGGTTAGCGGCGTTATGCACTTCCCTACATAAGCCATATCATGCATGTGAAAAATCCTTTGCAGCACTCATTATGTCACTAACAGGCTTCACGTTATATTTTTATTTTGTTATTTTTTGTTTCATTGTTTCAGCCCAATAATTGTTATGTTGTCTCATGAAAACACGTCAGCTGTTTTCTAATGAAAGAAAAGTCACAGCTCTGTCGCAAAAATAAACGAGGAACGCGATAGCAACAAATTGGATGGTCACGCACCGATTGGCAAGCAGAACGCAACGTGCTCACGTTTCTCACACACTAATGACGCACGAAACGTACTCACAAGTACAGATGTACGCATTTAAGCGTCTCAGTTGTTACTTCGCTGTGTCTGAAAACCACGTATTTTTGCAAACGTACACTGTGCAATGATTGCAGCGGCCTTTATGCGCCTGGTAACTACAGCAGAATAGTTCCGGTCAAAGCCTACGGCTAGCCAAGACGATTGTCCCCACCGCGATATACGCGTGCGTTAGCGTTCACCATGCTGCCTTTCCAAGGGGCAAAGTACGCGTGAGAGATGAGAGCGCACTCCGCAATGTAGTGGCAATGTGGTGATGCAAGCTCATGGCGCCATCTTGCTGGTAATACTGAAAACACAGTAGTTTCCCCCGAGATGACCGTCACAGGGGTAAGTGGTTGATATGAACAGCTTGCCGTTCGAACGTTGAAGGAGGTGCTCTGTCGTGGCTCAGTGCTTAACGCCTCGCACTCACACTTTAGAGGTGCCGCGTTCGATTCTGCATGCTGGTCGCTTTCTGAATTATTTTTGTTTCTTGTGTTTTCATATATATAGACACGTATACATACATGTTGAGTGACGGCGACGCCGGTGGCGAAATCCAGTCGAGAGTGTCCATAAGTACCTGTGTTCTGCGCATTATTGTAGTGCCATTGAATCACAGTAAAATATTTACTGCTGCAAGACAAGCACGCTCTTCGAATATATATTGATACAGAAACACGGATCCGTAATGTACCCCTCACGTGCTCATACTCTTGTATCGGGATACCACCGAGCTCTACATTGAACTAAGCGAATTATCTCTTATGCGTATGCCATCGTTCCCTATTCAATTGAAATGACACTACATATACATCACAATGTCACGGCTGTGTATTTATTGGGGCGAAGTGGCGAAGGAAACCCTGGCAATTGCAGCTAATGTTTTCAGAACAATAAAAGCCTTTACTCCAGATGAAGAATTCGCTGTGAGCTTTCTGAGTGCTATTTTATAATACTTGTGCTGCAATACCAGTTGCGAAAGAAGTTCTTTTCCATGGTGAATCACATGCTGCATTTACTCAATTTTAAAGCTACCATGACTGTAACGTGAGGTGTGACATATATTTCTTCCAGAAAGAAATATAGGTAGTTATTGTGGTATTCAAGTGTAACTCGAAGATTGACTTTGTGTAGCGAAAATTGGTAAAAAATACAAATTCGGCTCACATTGCATGGAAACAGTGAATTCGAACGTTTTATTCACTATCTTGGTTATTGCCTCAGGGTAGGTCAACTGCTAATGAACTCTGACACAGTGATGTATATTACGCAAAAGTTTGCGATTTTGTGCAGACTGTGCTGATTATTTTACATCCACATATAATAAGCCTACAAATAATCACTGACTTTATACTAAAGCACTCGATGAACGCCCGTAATGGCGAAAGCAAGCAGGGTCAGAGAACTTTCATGTACATGAAAGTTCAGCTTTAAGAAGTCCATTTGTTAGCTACAACATCATCAACTAATTCCACACAATCTTGAGATTTGTTTTCAACTAATTAAATATCAAGTGCGTGAATTTCTGTTCAGCTGTTTGGATCACCACGTTGCCCTATGAAAGGTATATTTTATTCCAGATTGCTTTGCATTTCGGCGTATTGAAAATGATGGCGAAGTTTTTCGTGGCATTCCTCTGCTCACTAGCTTATGTGATACCCAACAAATCCATTGCATATGAAGGTAGTGGGAATGCATGTAAGTAATAATATGAGGTGTCTTTGTTTCATCATTGACGCGAAACTGGTATACATTAGCTTTCAGATGATTGGTTCCCCCATAGATGAAAAAGAATCGCGGTTGCCATCATATTATCGGTTGCTTTATATGGTGGCATATCTCAACGGAACAAATGTCTTCAGCTGAGAAGCAGGCAAATTCCGCACAAAGAGCTTTTACGCATGCGGAAAGTTATTTAGTTTAGACAATTTCAAGCAATGTTTTTTTTCTGTCCACATTAAGAGGCTACTTCATACATGTAGCAGCTAACGAAGCAGTATAACTGTACAAAGAAGCAGTTACGTCATGTCGCCTATCGTGAGCGTGGCGAAGCACAATCTCGTGATTTCTAATCTCTTTCTTTCGCAATTTCTTGGACCTGAAAATTTCGCTAATTTAATTGAAAGAACTAGAAAACCTTGTGCGGCGAAGCACAATTCCTGGGTTTCAATGGTAGCAGAAAAAAAAATCAAGTAAACAGCAAACATCTTGAACTGCACTGTTCGGACAGAATGCTTCGAACTTTTTCGTGCCCTAGATTTTAGCTGCTTCTATTGAAATAAGAATATTTCTTTTCCATAATAGTCTGACAGCTTTAGAACACGTGCTACTTAGCCTTCGGAAGCTACTTCGCCCGATATTAACGTTGTTAAATGCCTGAAATGTGTGCATTGTTCGCACACGTGCGCTGTTACTTGCATGCAGCTTTGAGAAAGTGCACTGATGTTCTATTGTGGCATTTTAAGTTGCTCACAAAGGCTTTGGAAAACTCATCATTTTCACCTGCAGAGAAATGTGATTATTGTACGCTTTGAGGGTTCTTTTTGACAAGGTTGTTTCTCTTCGCGTGTGCATTTACACACTTGGGTCTTGATGCCACGTAGAAACAAAGTCAACCCTTCCGTGACCACACACATTGCTAGCACGCATAGCAAGGGGTTGTCTAACACAAGCCAGACCCAGATACCATCGTTTACTCAGCAAGAGGCAAGGGAAATGACAGGTGACGAGGTTTAAAAAAATCACCGCGCAAGCACTCCAGACAAATGGTTAACTAGCTAACGCTGAAATGCGCGGAACCGGTGTTTAGCAGCGGGTTCAACATTACGCTGCTCTGTAGCCTTTCACCGTTACTTCCTATATGTTCGTCCAGCTTAATGAGGTGAGCGACACATGTTTGGCTTTGGTTTATATAGGTGTATATTTCATATGCCGCACATGATTACGGTCACGCAGGGGAGGTGTGTTATGAGCAGCTAAATGCGTTTAGAAATTTGTTATTCGCAGTGGTTATTCTTGAACAACAGGTGGTCACAGAATCACAGCTGAATCCAAAATGCCACCGCAGAAAGTCCCACCCGACGCCGGCGTTCGCTCAAGCGAATGCGCCACCACATTCACCACGTCGACACTGTTGTGCCCGCAACACCGCTTTTTTGACGTGGCGTTGTTGCAAACGTTTACCATCGCGAGTTAACTCAGCGGCGTGGTTCGCAGCATCACCCTGACACCGGCGCTTGCACTCTTGTTCATGATTTAGCGTGGCTTGGAAGGCTGTCGGATCATCAGTACGCAGTTGCTGCCGGCATTCGGCTTGCCGGACCTTTTTTTATGCCTGGACTGAGCCATTGGCCCGACTACTGAGAACACTCTCAGGTTTCCACTGTTGGCGCTCATCTGGAGTCTTCTGCGGCTTAGGCACGTAATAGCCCTCAGTAGAAAGGGACGTGCACGGACTCGGCACCACGGTTGCGACGGGATAAAAGACGTCACTCACAACGTAGCCAACGGCGCGCGTTTTTTATTTCACAATACTGCAGGCCAATGTGCTGGCCCAAGCAGGAGTGGATACATCAAAACGTAATTGTAGAAAACAACAGACAACAATACAAAAGAAACAAAAGGTTAAGAAAGAAGGTGACGCTCAAGGTCACCAAAAAACATATTAGAGTGAAAGATGTCACACGGCAAACAATTCCAGTCATCGACAGTTCTAGGAAAAAAACTATATTTAAAAGCATTTGATCGGGCGAAAATTGGGGCTAGAGCATGTTCATGACCATGACGAGCACGTCATACTGAGAGCGGTTTAACACAGTCAGGGAGATCAATTTTTACAATACCACACAAACAATTGTAAAGAAAGGAAAGACGACTGAACTTTCTCCGAGCTTCTAAAGTAGAAATGTCGTTTAATTGCATTAAGGTGGTCGGGGAATCAAACCTACGATATTTGCCAAGAATAAACCTTACAGCCTTTCTGTTAATACGTTCCAGATTCATAATATTTTTCTTGGTATGCGGATTCCAGATAATCAAAGCATACTCAAGCTTAGAACGAACACAGGCATTATAGGCTAGAATTTTAGTACGCGAGGGTGCAGATGCTAGTTTTCTTTTTAGAAACCATAGCTTACGTAATGCAGAAGTGGTAATGTCAGTTATGTGGGTCGACCAAGTTAATTTGCTTGAGAGTGTGACGCCCAAGTACTTATATCTGTCTACATTTTTTATGTTAGTGCCTCTTAGAGTATAGTGGAATTGACTAGGGCTTAGCTTCCTGGTGATGCGCAGAAGCACAGTTTTGTTAGTGTTTAACTGCATGCCCCCGTTCTGACACCAGTTATCGATAGCGATAAGTGCATCTTGTAAAGCCACATGATCACACGGTGATCAAATGTGCTTAAAAATGACGCAATCATCCGCAAACAAACGCACAGACACATTTTCAGGAATAAGAGAAGCTAAATCATTAACATAAATTAAAAACAAAAGTGGCCCTAGCACACTTCCCTGTGGGACTCCAGAGGACACAGAACAGTCGATGAAGAATTACCAATCCCTACATACTGACGTCTATCTTGAAGATAAGCCTGAATCCACAGAACAATTTTTGTAGGTAGTCCAATACGCTGTAATTTGTGTAACGATTTCCCGTGTGGCACTTTATCAAAGGCTTTACAAAGATATGAAAACAGTACATCAGTTTGCCCAGAAACTTCAAGCACACGTGAAAATTCATGGACAGTTGTAACTAACTGGGTAACAGTAGATAACCCCCTTCTGAAGCCATGCTGATGCTTTGATAGTACATTGTGTTCACTGAGAAATTCATAGACGTAATTAGCAATAACGTGCTCAAGAAGCTTGCAACAACTGCTCTTAATAGAAATAGGGCGGTAATTCTCAAATGATAAGGGGTCACCTTTTTTATGAATTGGTTTCACACGTGGTATACCCCAATCAGCCGGTATTTCCCCGGTAGCAATTGAAAGATTAAAAAGTCCAGTTAGGAACTCCGATAAGTATTCAGCGTAGCAGTTAAAAAAGCATTAGGAATGCCGTTAGGCCCCGGAGGTTTTTTGGGATCAAGTTGTAATAGCATGTGCAAAACGCCATCTTGCGTCACTAATAGTTCATTGTCTGAGTCAACGAATGAATTCTCAAGTTCATAATCATCGGTTTGAGAAAAAACGCTGTGGAAGTATGCTTTAAAATGTTCAGCAATAGTAGGAGCGTCCGTTATTATCACACCATTAACCTTCATTTTACTACTCCCTGTCTTAGATTCGCTTAAATACCTCCAAAATTTTTGAGGGCTATTCTGAAGAAATTCAGTCAGCGTATTACTATAAAAAGTGTTTCTTGCTTGCGCCAAGCTTGTTTGTAGTTTGTCTTTCAGTACTTTAAGCTGGGGTGTCATTGGCACATGCTTCTTGCGAAGCCTTTTAACTTTACGCTTCATGTGGATTATTTCTCGGCTAATCCAAGGGTTTGCACGATGCTTATAAGTTTTTCGACACGGTACAAAATTTTCAACACAATGACGTATGGTTCTAACAAACGATTGCCAAGAGATCTCAACATTGTGTAACAAGGATCCGATATGCGTTTTAAGGTAGTCAATTATAGCTACATCATTCGCCCTAGTAAATTCCTTTATAAGTGTGGCAGGCTGGGTATTTTTAGCATGATGTAAAGCCTTATTCCAAGTAAAAAAATCAGTTTATGATCAGAAATGCCCGGTTCGATTGCAACATAGCTATCAGAAAATATTTCACTTAGAAGGAGTAAATCCAAAACCGACCCGCCTCGAGTACAGACATCCACCGCTTGCTTGAGGTTGAGCAAAAACATGATGTCAAGAATTGAGTCACCCGAAGGAGAGCAGCCATAGCTTAAATTATCCCAAACAATAGATGGCAAGTTAAAATCACCTGTTAGCAAGACGTGTTTGCCACATAAACCTAAAGTCGATCATATAATTTTATCAAAAACATATCATCTGCATTGGGTGTACGGTAAAGAGCACAAAGAAAGAAGGTAACATGGTCAAGCGATATTTTCAAAAATATGCTTTCATGATCAGCAATTTGATTGGGGAGACAGGCGTCAACGAAATCTTTTACAATAACCGCCACGCCCCCACCACGAGAGCTTCTATCCCGCCTAAAAACTTGATATCCAGGCGGCACAATTTCGTTGTCACTTATCAGACCATGTAGCCAGGTTTCAGTAATGACGCAAATATGTGGGTCATATAAAAGAAGAAGATTTTCAAGCTTATTGATTTTGTTAGCTAAGCTCCTAGCATTAAAAGATATCAAGCGAAGCTGGAACGTTGGGAATCGCTATGCCTTAGCGGGGTGCTTTTTACCCTTTGACAGCCATTGACGGGAATTTGAAGAGTCGTTCCAACTGAAAAGGTCGGTACCAAACGGAGCCTATCTTCAACAAGAAATACATCTTTACCGGCATCTTTATCTGCCTTAGCTGACTGCCAAAGCAATTTACGTTTCCGACGCGTTTCCGCACAGTAGTCGTTTTCAATACTAATCTTGGAGCCCTTAAGTTTCGAAACGTTTTTCCAGATAGCCTGTTTTTCCCTGTAGTCTTGGAAATATAGAATTATCGGCTTGTTATCTTTATTGCGTCCAAGCCTGTGAATACGAGCGACAGAAGAGCAATTCACACCTAAC